TCCCAAATCCCAACAGGGTGGAGAAATGGTGGAGAAGGGATTGTAAGGTGACCATGCCCCATTGGAGGCTGCTTTTTCCCCTCTCTCTTTCTTCCTATCTCTTTTTGGCAAGTACACATGCTCTCTTAAAACAAAAGATAATACTTTAAAAAAATTAGCCTTTTATTTAGGTAGCATTTATATACTGTAAGGTTTACTATTTCAAAGTGTACAGTTCAGTGTTTTTTAGTATATTCACAAGTTTGTGCAACTATCACCACTGTCAGAACATTTTCATCACTCCAAAAAGAAACCTTAGTAGTCACTCCCCATTCACCATTTCCATCTCCCCTGTCTCCAGGCAACCACTAATGTATTTTCCATCTTTGTAGATTTGCTTGTTCTGGACATTTTGTATAAATGGAGTCATACATTATAGTTGGCCCCTGAACAGTGGGATCAGGGGTGCTGACCTCCTTACACAGTTGAAAATCCATGTCTAACATTTGATTCCTCCAGAACTTAACTTCTTATAACCTATTGTTCACTAGAAACCTTAAAAATAACATTGAGCAGTCAACTAACACCTGTTTTGTTTGATACATGTATTATGTACTGTAACTTTGTAATAAAAGCTACAGAAAAGAAAATGCTATTAAGAAATCATAAGGAATATTTGCAGCAGTGTATTTTTTTTTAAAGAATTATTTTATTTAGTTTTATTTATTTATTTATTTTAATTTGACCAGAAAGGGACAGATGGAGAGAAAGTGAGAAAGCAAGGTTACCAGGTCAAGGACTCAAATCATGGTTGCCCTTAACCACCGTGCCACCTGCTCACCCTTAAGAATTATTTAATTTTATTTATTTTATTATATTTTTTAGAGAGATTTTTGCTATAGGATGCATGCTCTTGCCGGTGGGACAGAGAGACAGAGACAGAAAGCGAGAAATCATCCTCCAGAGGGGTTGGCCATGCTGTAATCTCTTCTCCATTCTCCTCTCAGGATCTTTGGCATGCATGCACACACTCTTGGTGTGATTTTAATGCCAGGTCCAGGATTTGAACTGTGGTCGACTATGTGGGAGTTTAGTGATGTAACCATTATGCCACCTGCTGGTCCCTATTTATTTATTTTAAAATTTGCTATAGGGCATGTGTGCTCATCAGAGGGAGGAAGGAAAAGTGAGAAAGCAAGCTGTCAGGTCTGGGGCTTGAACCACATTCGGCCATGTGAGAGTCTAGTGCCTTAACCACCATACCACCTGCTGGCTCAGTACTGTATGTATGTATGTATGTATTTTTTAATTTGACCAGAAAGAGAGAGAGAGAGCGAGAGAGAGCAAGCGAACGAGAACACGCGCGCATGTGCAAACCACCAGGTCTGGGACTTGATCGTGCCCTTAACCACCACACCACCTGCTGGCCCCAGTACTGTATTAATACAATAAATGTACATTGTTTACAAGATGAATTGTTTGCCTTCAGTGTAAACTTTAGCTGCCTTCAGCAATAGTTTTATATGATACGAAACTCTGTAGTTGTTATACATACTATTAGTGCCAGAATTAAAAAAGATGCGATGAAAAAAGTTTTTTTTTTTTTTTTTTTAATTGTTAGGAACTACAGAAATTTTCCAATATATTTATTGAAAAAAAACTAAGTAGACTGGCACAGTTCAAAACCATGTTGTTCCAGGATCAGATGTACATGACCTTATGTGTCTGACCTTTTTACTTCGCATAAGGCTTTCAAGGTTCTTGTAATAGCACGTAGCAGCACTTAATTCCTTTTTATGATCGAATAATATTCCATTGTATGTTATATGAATAGTATATAGATATGCTACATTTGTTTATCCATTCATCAGTTGATGGACCTTTGAGTTATTTACATTCACATTTTGGCTGTTAATCAGTAATGCTGCTATGACTATTTGTGTGCAGGTTTGATTTGTTTTGTTTTTGCCATAGGGTGTGTGCTCTTGCCAAAGAAGAGACTGAGAGACAGTTGAGAGGGAAGGTGAGAAATCACCCCATGCCATGATCCCTTCTCCTCCATTCTCCTCCTGGCATTTTGGGTATGCACGCACAGGTACCTGGTGTGATTTTCAAGCTGCCGGGTCTGGAATTCACACTACGGTTGGCCATCTGGGAGTTCAATGCCTTAACCACCATGACACTTGCTGGCCTATGTGCAAGCTTTTGTAGGAACATAGATATTCTCTTGGAGATAAATGTCTCTTTAATCACTGAATCATGTAGTAACTGTTACTTACCTTTTAGAGGAGCTGCATTTGCCTTTGATAAAGCTGTTATTGTAGAATGTGGCTTAGGTTTTAAACCAAACAAATAAATTAACTCTCCATAGCTTTTCATCCCTACCTGCCCATGGAACAGTCCAGCCTAGAGGATGTTTGAATCAGCAGAGCAGACACACATGAACACTGCTTTATAGAGTCCTGGATGGGGAAAGGGAGGAGAGACCAAATTCTTGGTGCTCAGGTGTTTTTTGTTAGGTAATTTCTCCCACAGATCAGGTTACCTTTTTGGAGAGGAGTAGGTTAAGAGGGGAGTGTTTAGAGAAGTCATTCCTTGTAGAATCAAGACTTGGAAAGAAGTATTCTGCTTTAACAGGAAGAGGTAAGCAAGAAAGATCTGAAAGCCATTGTTAGGTAAGAAGGATGTGCCATTTTATGAAGATAGGAAGTATATTAAAGCAAGGTGATTAATTCAATTTTAGACTTTGTAAATTTGGGATTTCTAGGAGGAAGTAATAGGTATTTATGTTTGGAGATCAGGAGATTGTTTTCCACTGGAGACAAAGAATTGAAATTTATCTGCCTAAAGACAATTAAAATATGATTAACAGTTAGTCATCCATAAAGTAAAGCAGCAGAGAAAGGTGTCTAATAATTACTGTATCTAAACTTTTTGTGGTTTTGATTACACTGACCGGTATTTTTGGTGTAATTTGATATGAGTGACTTGTTTCCTTATGGTTTTTGTGATTTTTTTTTTTTTAATGTGAATTCACTTATTTTAGAACTTTACCTGTGGAAATTTTTTCAGGCCTACATGGTAGGTGAGTTCCCCCAGAGGGAATTCTTATTTGCTTCTGTAGAGATTAGATGGGGGACATTCCCTTCTTAGAGCTACCCTAAACAACATTCTAGGTATGAAACTTTAAAAAGTATAATATAATCTAGGGGAGGGCCATGTGCTTGTAAAATATCAGAGAAGCAAGACAACACTGCTGCTTTTGTAGTCCCTCAGTGCCAGTGGTAAAAAAGCAGTTGGGGGGGGGCAGTTTTCTGGGCATGTATGCACACGTGCCCAAAATCCTTAGAGGAGAATGGAGAAAGCATTATGTCGTGGCTGTCCCCTCTGGGGGGTGCATTTTCACTTTTTTCCTGTCTCTCGTGAGCACACATGCCCTATAGCAAATTAGAAAATAATAAATAAATTGGGATCAGCAGATGGTGAAATGGTTATGTCGCTGAACTCCTTTGTAGTTGACTCTGGTTCGAGTCCCAGACCCAATGGCTTAAAACTCAGGCTGGGTGTGTGTGCATGCGTGCTCAAAATCCTGAGAGGAAAATGGACGAGAAGGTATGGTGGCATGGCCACCTCTCCTGGGAGGTGATTACAGCTTTCAGTCTTTCTATCTCTGGCAAGCACACACACCCTATAGCAAAAATCTCTGAATGAATGAAGTAAGTTTTCCTCTCAAGTATAACCTAAACTTTGCCTCTTGTACGTTGGGGCCCCTGTAAGTCTTAAAATTGCTGCAGTTCATAGGATTTGACAAAGGTTTCAGTACTCTGCACACTTCTCTGGTTTCTCCATTCTATTTAGTTTTTTGGCTTCTGATTGTGCCTCGCTTTCTGTCAGGTTTTGATTCATTTATAAAGATTTAAATGTATTTTTCTTTTTTTTAGAGATTGTGTGCTTTCCAGAGAGACAGAGACGGAGAGACTGAAATTGAGAAATCACCCCCCACCCCGGGGTGGGGAACCACCACGCCACAATCCCGTCTCCATTCTTCTTTTGGAATCTTACATGCACCCAATGTGAGGTTTTTTGTTTGTTTGTTTTTGGAGAGGTTTTTGCTATAGGACGCGTGTGCTCGCCAGAAAGAGAGAGAGACAGAAAGCTAGAAATCACCCCCCAGGGGAGATGGCCTTGCCGCAATCCTTTCTCCTTTATTCTCCTCTCGGGCTCTTAGGCACACAGCCTGATGTGAGTTTAAGCCACCGGGTCCGGGACTCGAACTACATGGGAGTCCGGCGTCATAGCCATTATGCTAACTGCTGGTCTCCTCACCCCTCTCCCCCCCACCAGTGAGTTTTCATATTTCAGGTCCAGGACTCTAACCAAGGTCTATCATATGGGAGTCCAGCGTTGGAACCATTATTACGCCATCTGCTGGTCCTGAGATTTAAAAGTATTTTCTAATATTTTACTTATTTCTTTAGGTACAGTCAAGCCATCTATCCTGCCATTTTGGCAGAAAAAGCAGTGTCTGCCTTTCTCTCTATTTAGAGCTCAGATTAGATCTTAGTGAAGCCCAGTATGTGAAACCAATAAAATTAGCACTGCTTCAATTGAAGAGTAGATGGTGGGGAGAGATAGTTTATGTGGGAGTGGGTCGGGCATGCTCAACTCTGGTAGCTATTAGGCACCTCTCTGGAATCTCAGCTTCTACTAAACAGTTTGGACACTCTCTCTGTAACATAAACATAACCATTTGCTATACTTTAAGAGGTCTCAGCTTTTTTTGGATGTCACAGTTATAATATGGCTATTTTTCTTATTTTACCTGGTATGTCTGCTTTCCTCAGTGTAATCCTTTTCTCACTCAGTAGCAGTTTTCATTCATGTATATGTTCTGATAGTGATGATTTTTTTTTTTTACCTTTCTGCTTGTGTCTTCAGAGTGTTTTAATTAGAATTATATTGTGATTTATAGTTTAATTTACTTTGAAGTGTCTAATAACTAACTGTTCTTTACTTTTCAGATTCTTTTTGTGGCCAGATGGGTTTGTATGGACAAACTTGTCCATCTGTAACTTCATTAAGGTGAGTTCTCTTTCTCTCTCTCTCTCTCTTTTCTTTACTGGAACATGTGACATTTTAAAAGTTAGTGTCCAAGTCATGTTATAGTGAGTTTCAAGATGAGGTTCAGAATAAAATATTGTAGTTTGTTTTTGTCAAGTAGTGTAGTTTGGTAGGGTGGAGAGATAGTTTTGCTTACAGAGATTTTTTTTTTTTTAAATTTAACTTACTATTTTAATATTTCGAAAGAGAGAGAGAAAGCAAGCCTCCAGGTCTGAGACTTGAACCATGATCGACCATATGGGAGTACAGTGCTCTTAACCACCATACCACTTGCCAGCCCTGCTGACAGAGATTTTTGTGTTAATGGAGGTTGGGTGTGCTTATTATTCTTTTTTTCTTTTTTAAATTTAAAAAGGTGTTTTGCCATGTGGTGTGTATATTTGAGAGAAGGGGGAAAGTGAGAACTCACCCCCAAGGCAGGATTACCACGCCACATTCCCTTCTTTCTCCTTGGGATTTTTGGGCATGCACGCACATGCACCCAGTGTGATTTTTTTTTTTTTTTTTCCCCCAAGCTGCTGGGTTCAGGGCTCAAACTACAGTCAGCCATGTGGGGCTTCAGTGCCTGAACCATACCACCACCTGCTGTCCTCTGGGTCTGCTCTTAATCTCCATTTGGTGAACTTAGATGATAACCTTGTACATGAAGTAGCATTTTTTTGTGCTTTTATTTAAAAAAAAAAAAACATTTTCTTCTTGTAGTTTGAAAATAAGAACATTTTGACTGCTTTAGTAGCAGATTAATAAGTCTAAAGACTAATTTAATTTCTTTCTAAAGGATGTAAACATAATATTTAGATTACTCTTATTTACAATAAATAAAACGAGTGAAATGTAAAAAGTAGGAACTACATTGTATACACCCATTGGTTTCAGAAATTTGAAGTCACCAGTTTCTACAAATCACATTTTAGGTGAAATCCAGTGAATAAAGCAGATTAATGGGGGAGTTCTCTGCTTGGTTGGGCTTTCATGTTTTTTTTGGGGGGAGGGGGAGAGGTTTTTGCTACAGAGTGCTTGTGCTTGCCAGAGAGAGAGAGACAGACAGCGAGAAATCACCTACCAGGGGAGATGGCCACGCCGCAATCCCTTCTCCTCCATTCTCCTCTTGGGATCTTGGGCACACATGCACATGCGCCCGGCGTAAATTTAAGCCACCGGGTCCAGGACTCGAACTGCGGTCATCTACATGGGAGTTCAGTGACATAGCCATTATGCTAACCGCTGGTCCCATTGGGCTTTTATGTTTTACCCTCATGGTGGCCCCTGAGGGATTTTTATGGTTCCCAGAGCACAGCTAGAAAAAATAACTATACTGAACTTGTTGATTCAGATCTTGCAGATTAGAATATGAAGTGTAGATGGCAGCACCTACAAATTATATGTGGTGTTGCAGTCAGCTCTATCATTTATTCCTTCAGCTTATTAAGAACCTAGTAGTTTGACATTGTTTTTAAATGTTGGTCTTATAGCAATGAATGGAACAGGTAAGCATTTTGTATTTGTGGAGTTTATACTCTGGTGGAGGGACAGTAAGTGAGATTAGTAGAAATGTCTTCTAGCGCCAGTGATGAGGGCTAGGAAGAACTGTCAGGTAGCCAGGAAAGCTTTACAGGAAAGGTGATATTTGAATAAAGACCTGAAAGAGTGATAGAGTGAGCCACATGTTGGGTGTGTGGAAGATAAACATTCTGTGCAGGGGAATTAGGAAGTCCTGAGGCGCATGTGTTTGAGAACCAGTAGCTGGAGCAGAGTAAATGATGAAGAGAGTTGGAATTGATCAATTGTGGAGTATAGAATGGGGGAGGGGGTATATAATGTTGCTAGATCCATGAATGTGAAGTCAAGGAGTCCTTAGGCTTGAGAGAAATACTGCTTGTTTAGAATGCCACAAAAGAAAAGTGAATAAAGAAGTTGCCTTTCTAGCTTTTATGTCCTTAAATTCTGAGCAGGTCAGTGCTGGTTATCCTCTTCCAAATAGGAAAGCTTTACTCTATGCCATTAAGGCCCTTCTTTCCATGAGAATTCATCTTTTATCTTACAGTCTGAAATAGATGGAGAGATTGCTTTTCTATTACTTTGATAGGGTTTTCCCCTTCTGTAAACAAGGAACACCTGTATAACTCTGTAAGTGCTTTATTTATTTATTTAGTTTTAAGCCTGCAATCGCTTCTTTTAATCTCTAGAACTGCTCTAGAACTAATTTGGCTTAACTGATTTCTGATTAGTATACTGGAAGGAGTCATTTTACCCTTCATTTGAATATTTAAAACTCTGAGTATGGACAGATGAAGATATTTTGCAGACTTTGATCTTCCACTGATTAGACTTCCTTAAAGACATTTTTAGTTGTGGGATATGTTGAAACAGTTCCATATTACGGCCGTAGACCAAGATCGTAAATCCCTTTATTTGAATATTTATGGTAACTTATATCTGACATTAAGTTAGGAATAATATATGCTTAACATTTGTGCTTGATAAAATTACAGAACTGGGAGGAATGATGAAAGGGGAGAGATATCATTATTTATTTTAAAATTTGCTTCTATGTGTTTTAATTCCTATGTACAGTATTCTGGACTGAGAAGTTTTTATAGATATAGATAAAACTCTAGCATACTCTAGCATTTAATTAATAAAGTGAGAAGCCCTATAGCATCTGAGTCACAGTATTTAGTATTATGTATATCTTTCATTTCTGTAATAGTTTATTTGGTCCATCTCTGAAGCAGAACATTTCCATTCTTGGGTATATGTATAGAAGACTGTATTCTTTGGAAGCCAGTATTGGTTTGAGATAAGGAAGGGAAGAAAAGAATGACTGTATTTTGAGGGAAAGGAAAATAAAATGGGATTACTTAAAACCACTGTAAATTTTAGTCACTTGCCCATAGTCTTAACCAAACTAGACCCTTCCCCTACTACACGCCTAAATAATAGAGCCAGAACTTGTAAAGTAACTCAAACCTGCTCACAAACACTGCTTGTTTGCCTTACCTGTCGTCTGTACTACCTAGTGTATACTACCGGCATATTTAGAAAGTGGCTAGCCTCAAGACAGGAAGCATATGAGTTGGTGGAGAACTGGATATCCAGCTGGAAATGAAAACATGGGTAGGCAGGTGGTGGGGTGTGTAGGCACAGATGTGACTGGGAATTGACAGTTTATATACAAGTGAGTAGGGAGGAGAACGAATGTATGTGAAGTATTTTTTAATTGTTATGTAGGAGAAGATTATTAGTAAATGGATTAAAATCCTCTCAAGTCCTTCACTAACGGTAAACAAGTAATATTCCCTATGGATGATATTGGATCCTTATTTAATCTGAATGTGTTAGGATTATTTAAAAACTATACTAACCACATTTTTTTGATAAAAGTGCATATTGTAGAAAATTTGGAAAGACAGAGATAGCTTTTGTTTATATCTTCATTATCACATTTTATAGGTTATATGTGACTTAGGAAAAAGTGCCACATTTTTAAAAAAAGGCTTGCTGCAAAAAGTTTATTAGTGATAGTTAAGTATTCGTTAATTTTAATCAAATTGATCTTATTGACACTGCTCTTTTTTTTGTCTGTGTAGAACTGCATTTTAACAAAAGTTGCTAAAACCAACATTTTATTCTACTTAATGAGACTATTTTTCAGTCAGAATTCTTTCCGGAGGCATAAACAGTATCAATTATTTGAACAGAGATACTTTAGTAGAATTGTAAACTAGATATAAAGTTGTTTATCAGGTAACAAAAAGGGTAAAAATAAAGCCCTTTAAGTGTTGTTAAGATAGACCGAACAGGAAGTAGCTATCACCAATAGGACTCTGGGACCAAAGGGAACAAAAGGAAAAACCTAGAGACTTAGAGAGGGAGGAATGTAGACTTGAAATGTAGAGACCTTTGAGGAGCCACTGTATGGCTGAGGCTGATCTTGGAAAGAGGAGTCCTGTGAGATTCAGGTTCTGAGGTGGGGCTGTTGACTGGTGCTGGTGTGTCTGAATGGTGTATGATGAAGCTATTGGGTCCTTGGAAAAGTCATAATGTGTTTCTCTATGCAAAAATGTGTCATGACTATTCTGATGACCCGATAGTTTTTAAGTGTGGGAACATTTCAGACTGTATTCACATGCCATTTCGAGTTAAGGGCTGAAACAAGCTTTCCCAGGGAAATGTTCTAAACAAGCCCAAAGAATAGCACCAGACTCGAATTACTTTAATGTCTTCTCTTGGCACAGCCCGATAGGAAACCAGCTGTCAAGGCAGGAATGTAGGGCCTGCCTGGTAGTGCAGTAGTTAAGCCCTGTACATAGGGAGCTAGATCTCACATTACTGACGGTGGTTCAAATCCCAGCCCCAGCAATTCTGAAGAACATGCTCGGTTCATGTATAAGCATGCCCAGAATCTTGATGTGAAATGGAGGAAAAGAATTGCAATGTGACTATGCCTCATTTGGGGGAGGGAGTGCTTTCTGTGTCTCTCTCGTGAGTGCATGCACCCTCTAGTTAAAAAAGTTTCTAAGATCCATTTTATAGCCAGTATTTATGGGATTTTAGTAGAATACCTCCATGTTGCTAAAAACCCTAGTACATTTTATAAGTCATCTGAAATTCTTCATAATCTGAAACCGTTTCATACATATCATGAGTTTAGATTGTAAGTCTGGATAATAGTCATTTGTATATATTTAATTTCTGGGTTTTGGATAAGAAAGAGTTCGAGTAATGATTGATACAGTTTCTGTCAAATACTAGAATCTTAAAGTTTTAGCAGATTCTGTTCGGTTCCTAAATTTGGACAAGATGTATTTGAATTCTGATGTGTACCTATATCTTATTTCCAAGTTAGATCCAGTAACAGCAAAAGTTTATTGTAAAAGCAAAATCATCTTGAGTATATCTACTTTATGTAGATAAGTAAATACATAAGTCATTTGCTGTACTTCTTTCACCTGTTGTAG